CAACAGTAGAGAAATAATATACAATCAAGCTGGTGTATTTCCTCTTTCCGGGCTTGCTTATACTCATCTCTGACCCAGCAGTTGTACCAATTTTGACTTGGAGGTGTGACGACTCCAAATAGATTTTTAAACAGTATTTCAAAGATCAAAGGATTTCTGTTTAAACTTGGAGTCTAATGGATATTTTTCAGTTGAGGACTCAACTCAAAATGTACTGGGGGATTTTCGTTTTTGTTTTTTAAATACAGTTGGTTTTTAGAAGAACACCAAGAGAGCGCTGCCTGGAGTGGGAGAGTGATCTTTGGTTTGTTTGAAAAATCTTGCTGATGTGTTTCAAGCTCTGGCCTCGATTTTTAGCAGATAACACTCCATGAGGGACCCCAGATCACCGGGCTGGACCAGCGCCTGCCGGTGGGGAGGTGGCCTGGATGAAACGGGAGCCAGGCACTGCAGCCTTGCAGACGAGGAGAGAATCAGATTTCCATTCTGAGCTCCAGAGGCAGACAGGCTGGCTGTCTGCATGTCCCACATGCACTGGCAAAGCCCCGGGTTACAGAGCCCCGTGCAGCATTCACAGAGGACATTACACCAAATGGGAGACTCGTTGGTTGGTCCCTATAAGGTGAGGACTGGTCACCCGGCTACCTTTTCAAGGTACAGAGTAAGCTGTGCTCAGGGAAGCACTTAAGTGAGAGAGAATCACCCACCACCGTGCTGGTGAAAGGCAGGGCGCCAACCGGACCTCTTTAGCCTTGAAACTGGAGAAAATTATCCCACTACCTGTGATGAACACCAAGAAAGCCTAGAACAAAATAAGGGTCTCCTGGCTATTTATTCAGACTAAGTATAACTGGAAAACTAGATGTTTTTGTCATATACACTCACCTTTCTTTTGGCTTGCTCTAAAACCTATGACATCAGAACACTCCCTGCCTCACACCAAAGAAAAACAATTTATGGGAAAAAAATAGTAAGTCTGTCAGCTTCCATGACATCTTAGGCATTTGTTTAAATTATATTTGTAAAGGTAACTGACTGCCAGTAGCTTTTCATCCACCAGCAAAAATGAAAAAAAAAAACTGCATGGGTTACAGTTTATGAATAAGGGGAGAAAATATTATCAAAATACGGAAAAAAAGGAATTCCTCCAGTTAGCTCATTTTGTTAGACATGAGCAAAGTAACACCATGCATGAGAGACGCTATTCTAGCCAAGGTCATGTAGTTAAGTGAGTGAAAAGCAGAACTGTCTCTTAGTAAAGATTCCTGGGAAGATGGTTTGGGGAAAGTATTCTGAATGATCCAAAATTAACAAGCACTTAGTATCTCTAAGCTACACAAAGAACACTTCAAGAAAGATGTTCCATCAAGGAAAGACAAACTAAAATTAAGACAAGACATTTTTGTTCGTGACCTTAAGCATTTTCTTACTTCACTGTATTTTCTGGATATCTAAAATCTCTGATCTCACCCTTTCTCAGCATTAGCTTGTTTTGTCTAAGTCATGAGAACAGGATTATTTATGCATAAATTATACAGGTTAATTTTGGAAGACTTAGTAATGAGAAAGTGCAGGAGCGTGCTAATGGAATTTTAATGTTTACCAAAACAGTGTAAACCTGTGGGGCTTAGACAACATCAATAAAATGTTAGGTTAAAGTATTTTATTGAATGAATTAATAAGGACATAGAGGGACATTTGGAATCCCTAGCTATCATTTTTAAATTGTAATTCTAAATTTGGCACAAAAATATTTTTGAAGATAAATGCATAAAGATTTTTGTTCTTTTCTTATGAGTACTTTAATAGAAAAACAGCTAGAATATTTGCTAGTGACCCGGGCCTGCATTTTGGGACTTGGCAAAATGTCCTTTTAAGGAAGGCTTTCAGAATTGAGTTGAGTAACCCTCCCATGGTTAGGGATGCTGCGAACACTTGGTGTGCAGGGCTGCGCCAGCAAGGGAAGGCGGGATGGGCCGTGTGCTGTGGGCAGGACCAACTTAGCCTGTTCATCGTCGCACAGGTAGAGTGATGCTAATGTCCTGCACGTCTATCCGGGATTCTTGTTAGCTCTGTACTTAAGCCATGAGATAAACAGCCCTCTCACTAAAAGTCGAGTGACCAACTGCTTGTCTCCAGGATCTCTGTGTGGCCACCTTCCACACACCAGGCACCGGCAGGTCTGCCCAGGTAATGCAGATTCACCTTCTTTCCTCACTGGCAGCTCACTGGACCTCTGCATTTCCAGCCAGTCAGCCAACAGCTATTTATGGAACTTCTCCTATGGGTCAGACTAGCAGCTAGAGAGAGGTGCTCAAGTGAACTGCAGTACCAGATGGGGTGGGGAACAAGGAAGGGCAGGGGGTGAGGAGAGACAATGATACTCAGGCCTTCCAGAGGGAGTCTGTCAATCTTCCGGAGGAAGAACAGAGCTGGACTCATCCCTCCCCACCCCTGCCCAGGCTTACCCTCCCCCATTCCTCCGCAGCACCAGAGGTGCATAGGAATCCAGGCAGGTGTGGAAGAAGCAAACAAAGGTGATAAAGGAACAATTGTGAGGCAGCTCTCCGGAGGCCAAGCAGGACAAAGTCGTCTCTTGCAGAGAGCAGCGCACACACCGCCATTATCTAGTTTGCAGATGGACCACCCAGAAAATCTGGGAGCAGTTAGGAGGGAGAAAAACAAATGGGGGCAGGGTACTGAGGATAGTGGGAGGTGTGGAGTCCCCAGACTATCCTCTGCTAGGAACACAGAAGTGAGGCAGGGCGCTTGCACTTAGTGGAAGAGGAACCCATGCAATCAAGTCGGGGCTGCACATGCACCCCTGCGCACTTCCCATCAACTGAACAGGGGTGAGAGTCCCAGAACAGCCAGAAAACAGATTTCCCAAAGCAGAAGACAGAAACCACGTTTAAACTCTACCTTCTGATACCCATCAGGACACTGGAATGTGACTTTTGAACAGGCTAAGTGAATTTTAAAGATTACATTCTTTTTATCAGCAACAAGCAAAGATGGGCTCACACTCTTTGCAAAGGGTGACGGCCCATGACTCCCTTGAACACCTTGACTCTCCTGCCAAACTGGCAGCTGACATTTTGCATTCCTGCCATGGATCAGGCAATATTCTGTGTTGCACATAAATTTCATAAACCCTAACCTCTCCTAAAAATAGTTGTCTTCTTCTAAAACAGAGGAAGAGACCATCTCATTACAGTTGACCTTTTAACAATGCTGGGGTTAGGGGCCCTAGCCCCCTGCACAGTCAGAAATCCACAAATAACTTTTGCCCTCCAAAGATTTAACTGCTAATAGCCTACTGTTGACTGGAAGCCTTACATAAACCGTTGATTATCCCATATTTTGTATGTCATATGTATTATGCACTGTATGTACAGTAAGGTTCATTCTTATGTCACATTATATGTAATGTTTTTCTGTCAAATGTTTGAAGGGAGTTTTAGAATTTTGCTTTGAAACTTTCATTTTACTTAGAGATTACTTGTGATCTCTCAGCAATCACCAGATTCTTGAGAATTCTTGACATCTAAGAGAGCCTGTAAGTTGTTTTCAAATACAATAAAACTTAGTGTACTTATTAAGCTGGACGGTTATTAAGACTGATGTGCATTTTGTAGAGTTTTAAACATTTATTAATTTCAATTTGTCGAGGCTTCTCCCTATATTTAGGGCCTGTGAACTTTTTTTTTTCAAGTCTCAAAGAATTTTGTAGGTCCTTGAAAGTCTAGTAGGTGCTAAGCACTATGCCTGAAGCATCTAATAACAGAAGAGCCCTGCTCACGCCTTAGCCATGTGCTGTCTCCTGTGATGGTTATATATAGATCTGCTTTCAGCCCCCACGTAGTCATGATTTTAAGCTTATTGAAGACAGTGTTTTTCGTTTTGCTCTGATTATTTTTTATAGTGACTAGCAGGGCTGCCATCCAACGAATGCTGATGGAATAATTAAAAATGTCATAAACACAAAAATCACAATTTTTGGAATGTTTTGAAATTATTGTAGTTATTTGAAATAATATTCCTAATACTTCTCAAAATGTTTGGAATCCCTTTCCTTAAAAGAAGTTCTGTCTTCATTGCTTTGAAAGATGGTACAGATAAATAGAATATAAACCAAACACACAGCAGGACTCTCTAGATGTGTTCAACTTCTAGATTTTTGTTTCACTAGCAGTTAGCTACAGATTTCCTTCTAAGTATTTATAGGGGAATTGTATACTCATAATTTACCAGACAGCCCATGTCTCTAATACAGCAGTGGCTCTATTACACTGCAAACTGTTCTTGGGTTCAGGTGAAGTTCCTTTGGTAGTATATGGATTGTAACTAAATGTGCTCTAATAACACTTTAACATCCATGATTAAACAACTACTACTCATATGCCCAACTTTAGGTATAGGGAAGGGGAAGCTGATGCTCTGAGAAATAAGGAGCTGGTACATGGGCATTTCTTTCCATGGACTAGCCAGTATGTCAATGACAAATAAAACAGACTCAGGTACACTTGAAGCAAACCATAACAAGATTTACATGAATAACACCCACTACTCAGCATGCAAATCTCATGGTAGACACTCACCCTTTAGTATAATATAATTGGGCCTGATGTCAAAAGGCCTAGCTTTTAAATACTCTTTGGTGATACTGCTAAAACGAAACTTCTCCACCTTAAGATAATGTTGCTACTATTTTTATTTTCTACACATGAGTTGTTTTACCCATGTTCACACCCAATAAAAACCCCATTTTGCCTGGGGGATAGGCCCAGTGACCCAGAAAGTCAAACTTTATGCTTCCCCGGAGAGAGTGCAATTTAAATCTCATTGTGAGTCCATTCTCAGAGAAACACCCAAATGCTTAAAACCGACCATTCCATGTTCACAGTGAAAATGGAGAAGACAAAAAACACAGAAAGGAAAAGCAGGGAGAAGGGCCGGAGAACGTGTGTCCTGCAACTATTTGGATGCAGCTGCCCCACCTCTTTCCATTGCTGTCCCGAAGCATTGCTTTGCCCATCACTCGGGACTTTGTTTCCAGCTCCTGCACCTCCTCCAGCAACGTTTTTTTGTAGGTATGCTTGGCCCTGTGTCACAAGGAAAAGACAAAATGAACATGAATTTGACCATTGCACAGCTGTAAAGAAGAGCTGTTCCCCACTTGGGTCGCATCTGGATGCCCTCTGTCTGAGGCCAAGGGTCATGATGGGCAGTCACAGTCCCATGCATAGCAAAGGCTCTCCCCTCTTCGCCTGGGAAGTACCCCATGTCCTGCAGAACAAGGGGGGCCCATGCAGCTCAGAAGTCACCCCCCACAGGACACTGCTTGTTGTGGAAGGCCTGCAGGTCAGCAGAGGGCCCCCAGCCCTTCAGAACACAGACCAGGGTGCGTGCATGATCTTGGGGCTGTCTCAGAAGCTTTCGCTGCAGGACTGAAAACCCAGAAGATGCTTTAAATCCTCCCACAGTGGACATATCAGGCCTCTGGGCTCTTGCCCCTCCTGTGATCGCCTCTAGTGTGGGAAGAGCCACTGCCCAGCAGGAATGGGAATGACATGGCACTGCCTGCTCTTCAGACCAACCCCCTGACCAGAGATGCGGGGTGGACACAAATATCGGGGCACAGCTGTCCCATCCTTGTCCTGAAGAGACTTACCCTTCGGCCCACAGATGTAGGCCTTGCTGGCGTTAAACAACTGAGACTGGTAAGAGCAAGCTAGCTGGCCTCTGCACCGCGATTTAAACCTCAGCCTGGACCTGGTGCTCTCCCTGCGCTGAAGGAAACGCTACCTGCGCCCTTTTGCTGATTAAACTAGAAGGAATTCCTTACAATGTCCAAAGAGGGGCCGATGTCAGGGTCTTCCTAAAATTGAGACTAAACAGCTACTGGATGGAAACAATAGAAGTGAAGAAAAAGCATTTAATAAGATACGGGTAAGAAATGGGAAGAGAAAAACCGTGGAAAGAAAAAGCCTCCTAATTCAGCAGAAAGGGCAGATTTTCTTACCATGAAAAGCTTTTTATTACTGTCAACATAAATGAATGTGAGGGTCCCAAGAAGCAGGACGCAAAAGCAGTGCAGGGGGCCCCCTCTGAAGACAGGAGCCAGTTCAGCGGCATCACACCCCCGCCCGCCCCCTGCCTTCACGGGAAAGTCTGTTAAGATAACGCTGGTCGTCCCCCAACACTCGAGGCTAATCTCTGCTGGGGCATTAGTACTCAGACACTGTGTACAGGCCTGTCATTCCTCTTGCCCAGAGCAAACAAGAGGACTCAGCCTCACAGGTCTGAACACGTAATACCTTAACTACAGCAAGTAGTGTCCTGAGACTCAGAGGCATAAAATACTGCAGTTCAAAGAAGAGCCTGTGGAATTTCCATTTAAACAATCAACGAGAAAACGCTTAACCTGTTGCTGGAAGGGAGACAGTCATAAAGAATGCTGAAACTTACACTGTTCAATAGTATTGACTCTGCTGGGCCCAAACTTGACCTTTACCCTGCAGGGTTATGGGGCTGTATTGATAACAAGCCACCAAGTGGCAGCGCCGCTGCCCTTGGATTCACTCCCGGGGTGGAGGCCCCGTGAGAACATTCTGGCTAATCCTGCAGGAAGAGCATCTCTCACTGCCCGGGCTGTCCTAACCCACCAAGCCCCTCTTCTCCTAGCTCTCTCCCCACACAGAGCAAGCAGGGCCTGCCAGCCTCTACAACAGCCCCTACTGTTGCCCTCTGGGCTAGGGAGAAAGGCGACACTGAGCAGTGGGCTTGGGCAAAGGCAGGCTGAACCACAGGACATGGAGCCCTGGAGATCTACAGCTCTGGCCAGAACCACTGGTCCAGAGCTGCCCACTTCCACCCATTCACATCACGGCCTCAGGGAAATGATCCAAGCCCCTTGATGCTACCCGGCTGCACATGCTCCCAGTAAGGGAATGGCACCCATGTCCACAAGCCACTCAGAAACTTTATCGTATTTACCACCAGGCGAGCTCCTGGGGGCCTGGAGGGAACTCACCATGAGTTGAGAAGCTTGAGTGGCAACACTGGGGGTGATTGCTCGGGTCTTTCTGCAAGCAGCACTACAGAAACCATTTTCTAACCCAACAAACCTTACCCAAACGAAGCCTTAATAATGGTTCTGAAATCTTCCCTGTCAAAGTCTACATGTGAACTGATTCGAACTGAACACTCGCAGGTTTAAACGGCCATTCTTTCCGCATTAGCCACGGGTGTATAAGTGTCTCCCCAGGAGCTGGGGCGTGGCTTGTTCTGAGTTGCAGCCTAGACAGAGTGAGCCCCTTATCTGCGACCGGCTTATCCCCAGGCTCCAGGGTCCACCTCATGTAACCCCACATGGGGAGACCCCGTGGCCACAGAGGCGGTGGGGCCTGGCTCCATCACTGCCAGGGTGCGAGGGCCGCCTGTGAGTCTTCAGTCACAGCCGAGGATATCTCCAGGTTATTAGGGGCTTTCCAAATAAATACATTGGCTTAGAATCTTGAACTTTTCATGCTTCTGAGATGTTTTTCCTGGAGTCTTTCTTTGCATGGAAGGAGAGCAAGTCAGAAGGAAATGTTAAGTTCAAAATGTGGATGAAAATCTAAATGCGATGGGTTTCAAAAGAACTCAGTTTAGTTAGAAAGTTTTTAAAAAAAGATCAAGGTCCATTTGTATATATAAATTTCTTATTACCTTTTCTTTCCATTTAACTGCCTATCTGGGATTATAATGAGGAAATGAAGTCATTCTGGAATTGCTGAATGTATTGTGTGCTGACTGGTAAAGTACAAGAGATGCAGTTAGATAAAAGGGGGTTGGTTCCTGTGTTCAGCGGTCTTGAGCTTTATATTATTTTTATAAAGCAATACTAATGAATTTCTCCTAAATGAGAATAAGTACATGGTCAGCTTACCTAGGAATGTTGTCGTAAGTAAACATTTTGCAAGCATGTCACCTAAAGGATATAAAAATAGTTCTGGGCAATTTAAACTTCATGCTTCTAATAAAAATACTCTCTCACCAGGTATCACATAGAATCAATTATCTTAATAAAAGATGTGTTAGTTCGGCCCCTCATGAAAATTCCACTTAACAGGATAACAGAGTAGGTATTTTATGGCTTCCAAATCTGACTTGAGAGAGGCTAATAATGGGTCTTCATCCAGAAAGCTGACAGACTTCATGGAAAAAATGACTGAGTTACCTCATGCTATGTTTTTTTACTCTTAAGAGTCCAGGTCCTGGAATGGAAGAGAAGCCGAGCAAAGAAAGGAGAAAAAGCAGAGAACAACTTACTTTCTAAAGTGCTCATAGGCATGCGTGTGAAAAGGCCTGCCTTGTGCTGGAATTTAAAAGCTCTGTCAAAACAGTTAATTACCAAAATTCAAAACAAAGCAAAATATCCTTAAGATTGATCCACGGCAAGATGAAGGAATTGCAACAGCCCCTTGGGAGATTCCTACCGCCGCCATATGCTGCCATCACAGCACAAAATTCTTTGGCTGCTCTTTAATTCCGATTCACTTAATTGAAAACTCTTCTTCGAAGTTGAATAAATATTCAACAGTTTGAACCAATTTGATGGGTAGTTGTGGACAATCAGCAATAATCTTTTTGTTTAGTGTGCAGGAAGGAAAAACAGAACGTGTTTTATAAAGCTGAAGTTCAGAAGGTCAGAGGACACCATAGCTCCATACTGCGGCCTCACCAGGCGTAAGCAGCTCAGAATACGTTTTATCTTCTTGGGGGAAGCCTCTGAATTGACTTGACTCATCAACATATATTTCAGGATGGGAGTAAAATATGAGATAAAACATGGGCCCCAGGATCAGAGGGAAAATGCTCAAAGAAACTTGCAAAATTCTTGTTTTTGAGGAGAGAGGTAACTGTAGTTAAGCCATTAAACGTGTATTACAAATCGAGCTTATATTTTGGGCAAATATCCAGGTGGGAGCCAATGTAGGCTATCCTCCCTGGCCCCTGAATAAAAAGAGACCAAAAGGTATTTAAGAAAGTGCCTCTGGAATTCAGCAGGGACTGTTCCAGCTCACCCAAGGCCAAGGGGCCGTGGGCTCTGGGGAAGGGCTGTGTGCTGGGCCCATCTTGGGCAGCAGTTGCAGGTGGGACAACCCTCTGCTGGCCCCACCAGTGCCTTCTTCCCAGGGTGTGGCCTCTGTTCCTACTGGCTGGCAAGCTTCTCCGAAAGGAAGTGGCTTTTACTCTTTCCATATGGTGGAGCTGGCAACTGCATCATTTGGCTTATCCTTGTTAAAATGTAAATGGTGCTAATTTTACAGTGCCAGGGGAAACCAAAAATAAGTTCTGTTTGAAGGAATAGATAATTTGCTTTATGGTGACTAGGAACTTTTACATGGAACATGTTGGATGAAATCCAGAAACAGAAAAGGAGGCAGAGACATGGAAATCTGCAGACACTCTCTTTGAAGTGGTAGAAAGATACTTCTCCTAACATCTCACTTGGCAAATAAATAGGCTCAGTAAAAAATTTTTTTCATGTCAGTAAGTAGTTGAATTAAAATAGGCTGTGATTAATTTATACTCAAATAACTATTCTCAATCATTATAAATTGAAAAGTAATCTGATGTAACCAATACCAAGTTATATGTATCTAAAACTAACCTGATTATCTCATAAAATTGAAGAAAGTTGGCAAGGTAATATATTATGCCACAGCAGAGCTACTTCCTACAAAAGCAAATAATAGAATTAACACCTTCTTTCAGTGCATTTATTAGATTAAGAAAACATCTGTCCTAGCTATAATAATTTCATTTCCAAGGCTTCTGATTCTGCAGACCAAATGGTGTAGTAAATCAAGCATTTAAGAAATTCCAATTATTTAATGTTTACTAACAGTTGCAAAACTTGGTGAAGAGAAGGAAAAAAAAATCCCAAATATGTGTTATACAGTTCTCTCTCTCCATCTTTCTCTGCGTTACATACCATCAGTTGTCAAGATAATGACAGAATGAAGACTTTTTCAAAAGGCATCCTTAACTGTCAGGCAAGAACAATTCTCAGTGAGTGTGGGAGGAATGGAGAGATAAAAATGAAATCTGATGTCTTTTCCTGGAAGGTCTGGATTAAAGTCTCAATTCTTTGCCTCAGGGCTTCAAAATAATTAAGTTTGCCCAAAGTAAAGCCAATCCAGGCGCCTCAATTTTCCAGGAAGGTGATAACTATTTGTAGGAGGAATCGAGAGTACCCCAAACAAAAAACACTATTAAATCATTTGGAGCATTCCATCTTTTTCTCATGGATGAAATTAAAATCTACATTATGTTGGAACTTATTTGCTTCTTTCACACTGCATGCAAAAATAAGTTCAGCAGTGATGTATCTTGAAACATATAAACAAAAATTGAGTATGAATTATTTCCTATTTAATCTGGGTTAGGACTCCATCTTTATGATGAATCTTCTCATAGACCTGTAAACTGACATTCTAGAAGAATTATATTTGAAGGATTCCTACCGTGAATTATTTAGACAAATGAAGAATACTTCATTCCAAGTATTTTGTGAATTGAAATGATTTACATAAAAATAATTTTCCTTGAAGCATGGGATCTAAAGACAGGCTACATATGTGATCACTCAGCATTAATTTTTAGATATAAAGAGAAATGAATTTTTCAGTTATAGTCCTAAACCCAATGCACTGGATCTGCACTAGAAACTTTTCCTTATAATCATGTACAAGCGACGTCCCTATTGACCTTCATACAGTCCATCTTGGGACTCCTTTTTGCCTACAATTTCGCATCAAGATGGAGCACTAATTAAAAGAAAAAGAGCCCCAGCATTCTTTACATCCCTTGCTGGCAGGTGGCAGGGACCTGTTTTTTCAGAAGTCCCAGAGCATTTATATCCTATGTCAGGGCTTGTGAAAGACAAGTTTGATGACAGATGAGCAAGACCCAGGGTCACTCCTTCATTTTCCACTTACGCTCGCCACGCCACATCTTCGATCAGGCACGCAGTAGGAACCAGAAACAGTCCCAACCAGAAGTGTGCAGAGCTCAGGACCATAGTTGCCTGCAAGAAACAGAGGCGGCATGTGTATTAATGCCTTAATTAATACACATGAGTAAGATGTAATTCAATAAATGTAAAATATCCCATAACAGAAAACAATGAAGCAATAAATTCAGTGAAAGTTAAAACATTCACTTAGGAAGAACGTCAAGGACTGGCTGGGTGTTGGGGGTGGGGGGTCCTGTTCATGATCCCCATCAGCTCTTATCTCCATTCTTTTATTTTAATGAGTGTTGCCTCTCCATTTTATAAAGTGCTGCAAACTCCCTTCCCATCAGGAAGCTGGCTTAAGTCCTCCTACAGAGAAGTGTGGGCGCCCTGGACTCCCAGGCACCACTGGGAAGAGTGAGCTTTACTCTACCAGGTTCCTCCCTCTGCTCCACTCGTCCATCAGTGCCCGTTCCTTCCTGCTCATTCATTCACGGAATCAGTATTTGTGCAAGGCACAGTGAGTCTCAGCACCCAGCAGGAGCCCAGGAGTATGTGACAGTCCTTACCGTCAAGGAACTTAAAATTGTGTAGTACACACACACATACGTGTAGGGTGATCTCCATCATCCTGTGCAATGTGATAGAGTCATGACCACATCTGTGGGGTTTCAGAGGAGCATTAGAAGGCTGGGAAGACTTCTTAAAGATAGAATATGGGATATGCCCAGAAACAAGACGCCAACAGCTGGAGAAGCAGAGAGAGCAATCAAGTGGAATGGGATGCGGGGCACAGCCTTTGAAGAGACTTGATTGTTCCTGGCATGCTGAACCACAGAGTTTGGGAGGAAACAGGTAGAAAATCTTCAAGGAATAGAGTTTCAGGGCCAAGGTGATGTCAGTTAGGCCAGGAGTAGAAAGAGAACTCAGAACTGGTACAAAGGGAGCGAAGAGTCTGCTCTGAACAGCTCTGGGGGCTGAAGAGTAGAGTCTTACATTTCGGTTTTGAACGAGCAAGTGCAGGAGCCTGGACCTGGCTGGCAACTGGCAAACCGGCTGGAGAGGGGTTGCTTCTTGGAAGAGAGACTCAAGTTAAAGTGTGATGGTGCCCTTCCCAGGCACCGTTCTGCCTTGCTGGGACGCTCACCGTTTGATTCCACTAGAATAGGTCCGCCTTGCTGAAAGTCATCACACAGCAGGGTGAGGCTTCCGGAGGGGGCCGAGGCACGCTGGCCTCTGGGGCCGTGCAGGGCTGAGCACCAACGGGGTTGGTGGCACAGAGCAGCTCTGGTCATTGTGCACGGGGTGACGCTGGTTCACCCCGGCCCCAGCCTGGCAGCCAAGCTTCGACTCTCTCTTCGGTTCCATCTTCCCCTGTAGCCCTTGTTGATCGACTGAAATCCGTCTGAGCTGGGACACGCTGGGAGAGAAGCCTGTCCTGGCGGCTTTTCCTGAGCACACCTCCATCCCTGCACCCGTGGCCAAGCCCAGCCTAATTAAGAGGGGGCTTGCCCTTGAACTCCCCCACATGGCCCTGTCGGTGGTACTCAGGGCCTGATGACACTGAAGCCCAGGAGCAGTGAGGTTTGGGGTAAAGCTGAACTCCACCCCTGTCACGGGAGGACTTGCCTTCCTTTCCTAAAAATCAGAGTACTAGCTTTCTGAAAGAACAACTTAAAACCTTAAAAATATGTAAGCACATTTTGCCCCATGGATTACATCTCAGAATTCATCCTAAGGAAATGAGAAAATGTGTAAAGAAACAAGTACAAGAATATTCACATAGAGCTGTACTTCCAAAGAAAGTAAGAAATGTCCAAGAAGAGGGCTTGCAGCATGTATTGTTATATATAGTAAATATACTGCATGCCTATATAATATATACAGTAGCCTTCTAAGCAGCAATTAAAGTCATAACAGAATGATATTTACCGACATCAAGAGATGTCATGTTTTGTTGCTAATGAAAAATAGGTGTTTCAAGATGACATCTTATAGGGCACCGACCATGGCAGTGGGGCGTGTGGAAACAATAGTGGCCCAGGTCTCAAAATTAAACCTGAGATGTTGTCTCCTGATGCACCCACCCACAGGTCATTGCATCTGTATGTGTTAAACATTATATATATGTCAATGTCTATAATTTCTGTAAAGTCCTATTTTGGGATTTCTGCACCTTTGAAAACACATTCTAGAACTTCAAAAACAGCGGAGGGGTCTTTGATCGGCTTGAGACCACCAGGCCATTTACATATGTGCATGCTTCTATGCTCAGAAGCAATGCGTGGAAAGGTATGTCATACAACTGCTGAGTTTTATTTTCGTATCTCTCTGGCTATCTCTACTTCCTGTTTCTTCTACAGAAAACATGTATTACTTACATGAAAAAGAAAAACTTAACCTGAGCCCCCCAAGGCAAACCACAGGAGGGAGGGTGGATTAGCCAGCTCCCTTCTGCACGTCCAGCCATCCACCTCCAATCCTCTGGCCGCCACAACGGGCAGGAGCCCCAGTCGCCGGTGCCCTGAATTTTGCTCCTATTGCAAATGCCTAAGGTGGTGCTTGGACCACAGACGGTAGACCTGTTCAAGCCGTACGTGTGCAGATATGTCCCAGATCATCTGTTAGGCGTACTTACCAATGAATACAGCCATGTAAAAATAACACTTTAGTACAACAGTAATGTACTATTTAAAATAGAATGTGAAATTCGCTAAGAACATTGACTGTAGAGGGAAATAAGAAAAACAAACTTTGGGCTGCCCTATTGGAAATATGAAGCCCCCTTCCAAATTAATGGAGATTCATATGGAAATTTGGAAGCATTGATGCTTTGTTGTTGGTTTTCAAAACTTTAAGACATCATGTGTGTAGGTTGTTTTAAAGGTGCCTCCAGAAAGGTTGCCAACCTCCAGATTTTCACAGATTGAGGCCCAAAACCCCCCTGAAATCTTTGCTAGGGCCCACAGGCTGTCGTTATTTAAATTTAGTTAGATTGTTCTTGTTCTCTTAGCATAACAAAAAGATATGTTTATTGTGCTGGGCTAGGTGACAAATAGCCCTCTCCCCCACCCCACCCCACCCCACCCCACCCCACCCCACGTATACTGCAGAGTAGGGTTTTAAAAACATCCTTTTGATGTGCTAACAAGTCCCACTGGGGAGAATGCACCCCTCAGTTAACAACTTTTAGCTGGCGATGACTATTAACCACGTAAGTGCCAATCACGAAACAGAAACTCAGTGCGGTCCGGGAGTGCAGAGCTCAGGTGGGTGAGACTACCTGACACATTAGGACACAAACTGGTGAGAGCCCAGACAGGGGTGGAGGCTTGTCTGATTGTAGGAGCTGCACAGTACCAGCTGGACACCCACAAATCTGTGATCAGGGGTTAGTATTTTGGTTAGATTTGGCAAGCTACTAATCGCACACACATATCCACAATGCCCAGGACCAGCCTCCCATGAGTGTGATGACAGATAAGAAAAGGTTTTAAAAAGGAGGCTACTGTAAATTAGAGCCAGGCAAGGTCAATTTGTGTTCCCCAGGGAGGGATGATTCGGAAACAATGTGATCGAGACGGAGAAGGCGGCAGCAAGGAGGAGACTAAGATTTCTTTGTATGTCACCGTATGCCAGGATTTCCCATAGATCATTTCATTTAATCCTCACTGTCCCCATTTTACAGAAGAAAAATTAAGCCTGCAACTTCTCCCAGGGACCTGAAGCCAGAGAGCAGGGTCATCAAGATATAAGCCAAGGGTGGCTGGTCCCAAACCTTACTCCTTCCCCTGAACGTGAGGGATGAGGAGCTACCTGCTTCCTACCTGCCTCTCCCTGGGCAGGAAAGCTCACCACTAAGTTTAGAAAGCACGACACCGAAGGCACAGGTTTGCCTTCCATTTAATACCAGACACACTAGGCACCGAATGCAAAATGTACGCAAAAGGAAATCTAGAGAACTTGTAATGTTATAAAAACAAAAAGAAACACAGGGATCCTACCGCCTTCTCCTCCCTGGCTCTTGCCAACCCTCACCTTTCTCCCCTAAAATTTGTTTTCTTTCAAAGACCAAGGCAGTCCCAGTTTTGTTTGTGAGGTTTGGCTTTCTGAAAACCCTGTTTTCTGTGAACATGCCCGTGAGAAGGTAAATCCTCTTCTCTCTTTACTGCGAGCCGTTTTCGGAAGTGTGGCAGTGTAAATTCTGACACTATTTTCTCTGGTAGCTGTGCAACAGTTTACATGTTTAGGACTCCCCCCTGGCCCCACAAGCCTTGGCCGACAGGCAGGTGTGCTGCATAAATCCACCATCTGCAGGGAATTCTCAGAGGATGCAAGACGACAGATTGGTGCTGACTGTAAAGCAGCAGAAAAGCAAATACTATGTCAAGAGAAAGTACTTAGTGAGACCGCATTCGCTTGCCACAGGATGGAGGAAGCAAATTCCAGGCTGAAATCAAGTTCATTTCCTATAATCATTCATGCCCACTCTTCCCCCATACAAAATGCCGGTAGCCTGGTGCCAATTTTAAGCTCAGATTTACCGCAAAGGGAAAGAATCTCAGTTGCCTATCTGGACCATCCTCTGAAGATTACCCTACAGACTCATGTCAGAAGCCCTGTGGGAATGAATGCAAATGAATTTTTAGAAAAACAGCCAAGTGATCCCAGAAGCACCTACATGCCTCTGATAACTCAAAACCTAGCGCCACACACCCAATCCTGACATTTAAATGCCAACCCACTGCGGCACCTGGTCCACTTGAGTAAAAGGGGATTTGAACCACCAGGAAACGGTAAGCACAAAAATTTGCCATCTCTGTCTCCCTGTTACCTGTTCCTGAAGGTGGGAGAGATTAAGCAAGCACCTAAAAAGATAATTCCTACAAATGTAGTGTCATTAAAAAAAAAAACCAAAATGTACACTAAATGCTCTCCTGATAGTGGGCTTAACTGATATGTTTTGTCACCAAAGCATAAGGTAGCTTTATCAATGGATGCTATTTTGAAACTGTGGTAGTGCTTCACATGATAAGGGTTTTTTCAAAAACATCCTCTTAGGGGCTTAAGAA